CCAGGGAGTGGCAGTAATGGTTATAGATCATGCTGGGGAAGTGCTATGCACCCAGGGGTGTGTGTTTGGAGATGTTGTGAAGCCAAAATGGATGGGCAAAGCCAAAACCAAAGGTGGTGGAATAAAGAGGAAAAATGATGCCATACAGAAAACACGAAGGCTACAGCCTCATGGGAAGCAAATGATCACGTCAACATGCAACTGGAAATTTCAGGTAATGGTCAGTGAAGAAAATTATCTACGAACTGGAGGGGGCCAAGCCAGGCCCACCAGCTGCAGGTCTTGCAGCACAGGTGAAAGTATAGAGGGCAGCAAGGATATTTCCTTTTAAGTGGGAAAGAGGGCAAAAATCAGAGCTTGTTCAAAGTGCCAATGAGCAGTAAGTGGGAGGCATGTTCTCAGAAGCTGGTCTTGCCATGCAAAGTCTAAGGTCCCTGCATCCTTGCTATGGGGATAAATCACAGCATTAGGGTGTGTTTTCAGCTCAAAGCAAATCTGTGGAGAATCCCAGTTTTTTCCATTTGCTATAATCTTAAGGCAACTGGACTTCCTGAGCTGAAATCAGTTTTTGTCACCACCCTGCAAGACGCTATCTTACATGCTGTAATAAAGCAGAGAACTGGCTAGAGGAAAGAAATGAAATTTCAACTGAGGTACAGGAGAGACCGTAAAGGATGCTAAGATGCCTCAGAGATTCACAATACTGAACAGAAATTGAAAAGCGGTTTTAGTGAATACTCTCACCTCCTCACAACGTGCTGAACTTTCCCATCTCTTGGATGATATTCAAAGAGGGTCTGGGAAAGCTGTACCGGCGACATTGGTGCTGCCATCAGGTAGCACTGCTGGTAGTTCAAGAAAACACAAGCTTTGATGTCTAGCAGAGTTTCCAGTTGAGTCCTTTGCTTTCATATTAAAGACCCAGACAGTCAAGTCCACCCCCACAGAGCATGCGTGACAAGGCAGAGTCTTCCCAGTCCTACCTGTTGCCTCCGCCTCACTCCCCACCTGTTTTAAAGGTAGGAATCTCTGGAAGGATCAGACCATACAGTTTAGGAAGACTGGGAAAGACGTTTTAATGAAACAAAAAAAAGCTGCTCTGTTTGTGTGTGAGTGGTGTGGTACAGGATTAGAAAGGAAACTTGAAGCAGTGTACCAATTAGCCTGACTCGTTTGTCTGCGCTTCGTGCTATAGGCTCTGTTCTGTTATTTGCTTGTGAGTATTGGTTCAAAACTTTGGTCCTGTTCCTGAAGCCATTAAAGTCATTAGTCAAGCTCTCATTGATTTGAGCAGGACTAAGACTTGACCCTTTGTGGCTATTCAGAGGACACAGATAAACTTTTAAATCAATCAAGGGTGTAGACTCATTCTGCTGGGGTCATATGGTTAATACATCCTGTTCCTGCCATTTCCGCTATAAATCTGTGAATGCTTTTCAAGCAAGAGGAAAACCTGATTCCGTTCCTTTTGCAAGAAAATATTACATTCCCTTTTATTACAAACAAGACAGGGGTTCTTTTTCTCAGGAAAACTTGTAATGGGAAAGGTAATCTCAATACTTACCATGTCTCCAGAGTCAGTGAAAGGTAATTTGAGACAAAGTACTGGGCAATAAAATCTCCTATCTGCAAAGCAACGCAAACCTTCTCCCACTGACTTCCCATAAGCCTTTACTGGGTCCTGATGATCTTTTTGCCTGGGCACTAAGTCAGTACTCATTGTACTGTTGGTGTCTATTAAAAGATGCCTTATTTTCTGCATTGCATCTGGTCTACACAACTCCTACAAGATGGCAAAGATTTTTAACTTCCTACAAATGTAATCAAAGTCATAATTATTTACTTCATTTGCATGGCTTTGGACCTGAGTCACTAAGCACTCTGGTTTTACTTCCAGAGTGGGATACTTCTAGAAATGTGGTTATTTATACAAAATAATTCTGAACTACTCCGGGCTTTTTTTTTGTGCCGAAAGACCTGCCTCACGGTGACTATGGAAATAAAAGCTGTTATTCCACTCTCTCTTGCTGAATTTAGGATTCTGAACAAAACTGTGGTGGAGAATACCCATCCTGATTCAGGTCAATTAAAAGCAGAATTGTGTATCCTTGGCTTATCTCGAGTCCTATGTCTTTCAGAAAGATCTTGTTTGATTTGGTGAAAAACAGTGTTGTGATTGGATACATGTTATGAAAACAGCTTCCAGTACTCACTCCTTCTGATGAAAAGATGAAGGAATAGGTGGAAGAGGGGAAGAAAGGACCTTTATTATACATACATACATAGGTACTACCCTGCCCAGTCTGAAAGCCCATCTGGCTTTCAGAAGTAGCAGATCTGTATATCTGTGTGCATGCATGTGCATGTTTTATAAATGGTTTGATCCTACCTGAGCATCTGTGGCACTGGTGACATCCCATTTGTTCATGTTTCTGGCTCCTCCGTAAACTTGCTAGATAGATGACAGTTCATTAAATTAGTTGACAATGCACACCCAGCCTTTCCACCCTTCTCCCCCAGCCCTAAAATGAAACTAAAGAAATTACAATGGCAAGAAGGAAAAATGCTATGCAAATAGCTCTGAAAGCACTGACACATTTAAACTAATGCAGTTCCTATAATCATAACAATAAATGTGCTGTCAGGGGCATCACAGTTACTCCAGTGACACGACCACCTTGCAATAGCACAAGTGCAAGATGTCAGAGCTGGTTAAGTAGTCCTATCACTGTAACTTCTCACAGTCCTTTTTGAAGTCCTTTGAAAGAGTCCTTTTCCCCTTCAGGTGGTTTTTAGACACCTGCATATATCACCTTGCAAAAAAAAAAGTGGTTTAGGAACAAACTGCGGAGATGGTACTTACTGAGATCAGTAGTTTTAGGAAATGTTCCTTGATGAAATGACTTGACAAAGCTTGCCCAACTTCCTGCATGGCAAACAGTTTTTCCTCAAATATTATACAAATAGCAACTAGGCCAACCCCAAAGAACCCTTTTCAAAGGGTTCAACCCTTTCAGGCAGCTGGTTTTGTTTCTTAAAGTTGCTACAAATGATAATTTACAAATTCAATTCCCCAGAGCGAAACTAATGCAACAGCATCACTATAAAAAAACCCATGAAACAGCCTTTCCATCATTTTCTTTAATGCACAAACTTTCTTGTTCAACTGGGAGTCAGAGCAGTCTATTCATTTTGACCATCAACTCGGTGCTCTGATGCAATGTATAGGCAGTACGGTTGAGATTTAAAAAGCCTTTGTGACAACTCAGAAATGCCCCCCTCAAACCCCTTCTTGGAATTAGTGGCTTTAGTTAATATTGGTTAACACTTATTTGGAACAGGCATGTTATTCTTCCATTAAGCTTTATTCTGGTCATTCTTCCAATCTCCATTTAAATTCCGTTTTCTTCTCGGTTGGCATCTGTAGCCTTCGCTACCTCATAAACAAGATGCATTGCCAACTGGAACATGCGAGCTGAGCTGAAAGCAGCACCACTAACCTCTGCTCCTTTCTACCCCCTGCAAGTTGGAGACATACCAAACTCAATGCTTGGAGCCTGGGAAGTGGGAATCCTGAATCGCTCGGAAACTCAAAAAGCCAGACTTCAGGCTATTAAGCTATTGGGCTGGCTTACTGAGCTATAACTATGCATACATTTTTTGAAGTGTTTTTTTTTTTTTTTAATCAGCCCAGCAAGTCAGATTCACATGTCTTTACTTCAGCTGAGCGTATCTTTTTCTGTAAAGAGATGTGCTGAAAACTGTGCAACTGATTAGACAGTTTTACTCAGCACTAATAAGGCAAGCAAAATCTGATCCAGAATGACAAGCCCAGCAGTTTTAATTTCTAAGTGGACAAACAAAGGAGAAAAGATTTGGGCACTCAAAGTTGCTTACAGGTTCTGGCTATGGGCAGCACTGTCTTGATTGTACATGCCTAAAATTTGCATTCTTAGAGACTGCATACTCAGCAATAACAAAATAAAATACGGAATTTGGAAATCTTTGTCACAGGTTGGGGAAGCACCATAAAGAAAGCCAACGAATGAAGGAGGAATGCAGAGACCGGGTGAGCGGTGGTCGAGAAGGCTCTTGCTCCCGCTCCTCTCCCCTGCCACGGCCCAGCCCCTCCTTGCGCTCAGCGGTCACAGCCAGAGCCGGCTCACAGCCATGGGTACCTGGGGAGGCATCTCCTCTAGCATGGCTTCTCCTCGCTTTTCACAGCACAGACCAAACCCACTTGCTCCGGGCCTTTTTTCAGAACTGATGCAGGTGTAATCACCGATGGCTGTTCCCTTTTTAGAGTCAACCACTGTGTGTGGATGTCTGCGTAATCAAAACTGTATTTGACTTCCCCCACCCCCCCCCACCCTACAGCTGTGAGGTCAAGGCTTTTTGCCTTGTCTTTTCTACACTGGTAAACGTTTCTGTCCTCAGTTTGGAAGGCAGAAAGTCTAGCCACACGACACCAACAACTTACATGTTGCCAGTATGGGGAAAGAAAGTACACATTCAAAAGAACCAGCAGCCTAGGTAGGATATAATGTGACTGAAGAGTTTTGCTGTAACATTGTAGAGTACAAAAATGAAAATATAAAGTGCATTTTAAATGATTAATGTACAAAAGCTGACCTCTTCCAGTGTGCATTAATCAAGAAAAAATGCACACTTTCTATAGTGGTTAATGTTGCAGGTCCATTATTCAGCTTTGATAATGTGCATAAAAATGCTCAATATGACAATGAGTTGGGGTAGCTGAGAATTTAGGATGGTGGCAAGTTTGTTGTAGTATTTGGATTAGCATTCTTAACCTACATGTTGACAGCTTCTTTTCTTCATTTCGCAAGCGTTAATAAAATCTAGCTTTATCCTCTTTGATTTTTTTTTTTTTTAACAAAACAATTAAAAAATACCTGCTCAAACAAATACTACCAGCATTCATTAGTCAGGATGGTTATATGTAAAAGAAATGATGCCAGATAGTAACAAATCCAAGAGAAGTTTATTATGAAAATGGCACCTGCGGGATGAAAAAAAATTAAGTTACATAAAGACAACCATGTATGACATGTATGAGAATCTACAAAAGTATAAAAAGAACCCTGTTGTAAATGAAGTATGTACATTTCTGATTTGCAGCATTATCAATGATCAATGAAAAAAATGTTTCAAATAAGCCAGGCACTCAAGAAGTTAGATTCGGTTAGCTTAACACAAAATAAATGTACCATAGCTGTCACTTTTTAACATTTTAATTTTTTTTATATTGTAGAGTTGGTAACACTGCTAAGATTTATACGAACAGAATCCCTTTCCCCATTATTCAGCTACTTGGCACCAGTCTCCTCATAAAAGATTTCATATATTTGTACAAGAAATAGTTAAAAACACAGACACAGTCTTCACAGGTAATGAAGTTTTTTTTTCATTTTGTAATTTTAAACACTATGGATTTAGACAGCAGCTGTGATTATCTGTTAGTTTAAATCACCAGAAATCATTTTGACACAACACAGAAACATTTATAAAAAAAACCCAAAACAACAACAGCTGTCTAGCTGTTCTTTGTAGCTGATAGGTGCACTCCTTTGATTGTTCCATAGCTAGAGTAGAGCTTCCAAAATTAAACTTTGAATTTTCCAATCAGCTTTCTTGCCTTTTTTAGACCTACTTAAATCCTTCCAATGGAACCTTTAAAAGCTTATTAATTAAATTTGTGGCGTCCAATTCCTTTTTTTGCTATTACTCCGCTGTGGCTTGGACCTACTTCTCAAATTCAAAGCGACCGTAGGAATTGACTCAACGTAGTGAGCGATCAAAAATTCAAAGGACAGCTGAGTTAATATATTAGCATTGCACACATAAGCAAATATATTTGACAATTCTAAGCTCAGTTTCCTTTTTAAACAACGCTGGTCGACCTTTGAAAGCAATTCCTATGTCACCGGTAATTGCTCTACGTGTTACTCCGCCAGCCTACCTGGGAGAAAACCAAAGAAATGCACCCTCTGCTTACAGTTCGAGCACAAGGGACTCTGGGAATGTTAACAACTGAGGCTATATGGCGTCAATTTGCTTAATATATCTGAGCATTACTCTGTAGTGCATTGTGGGGTACACTGGAAGAGTAAGTCATACCCAGAATTCCTCTGTGGGTAAAATGGCTCCATTAACCTTGAGCTAGTTAAGAGTCTTTTATCTCTGAGAGTGAAGAAGAGAGAACGAGAGAGCGAGAGAGAGAGCGAGGGGAAAAGTGTGGAGGGAGGAGAGAGAGGAAGGGGGAGAGAGAGGTTTGAGAATACACAACAGCAAAGCAACAGCAGAAATTAAAAGGTATACAGACAGTGGAAGCAGCATAAGGTGACATTACAGAGGAAGGCCACCACACAAAAACCACTAACCCCCAAGAATCACTGGTTCACTAGGACTGCAGGAATGGGACTTCACCACTCCGGACTAGAGATAAAGCACAGAGAAGACAAAGGACAAAACAACTACATTAGCTTAGTATATACTGCATATAGTAACACACATTGAAACTGCAATGGGACTGACAGCCAAGGACACTTACACATTGTACACATTACAGTTCTCACATCTGTTATTAGATGCCTTAACAAACAGCTGCCAAAGATGGAGTGGAAGAAGAATTTATATTTGACAGTCATTTGGAGTGTTTGACACTACACTGTGATTTCTGGCAACAAAGACAAAATAGGAGATTTCTTTTCTTTTACTTAATGTGCAGTTTTCAGTTGTAGTTATCTATTTCAAGCTTATTAACCCATTCTTTAGTTTTAAAACATATTGGTTTCAACACTAGAAATAAGGAAAAAATAACAAAAAATACCCAAATCAAAGAAAAAAAAAAAGAAATTTACAACCTTCCCTCTATAATATTAAATGAAAAAACAAAACAAAACATGTTAAATAGTTCTTCTGTTTTTTTTTTTTTTTACTCTGAAGTGTTATTTGATGTTGTAAAATTAGCCTCAGTTACACTGAGAAAAAAAGAAAGCAAAACAATATGCACCTAAGAAACTGCTCCTCGCGTCAATTAAATTGAGTTTTTTGTTTTTAAGCACTTTTTGAAAAAGGCTTCCTGACCCATTTAAATTTGATGTGAGGCTATGCTTGTTAGTTTGGAGGTAAAAAATTTTAAAGTCCTGCAGCAAATGTTAATGAGGGCTTTTGTCTTAACTAACCAAGGAGACTGCAGCACCCAACTATAAACCAGTACGGAACACATTCTTTCCAAAAAACCCAGCCCACAAGCTGCATATTGTATGAAGACATTACAGATTAATAAATGATAGCACCATGGTTTTAGAAATTAAGTTAAAGTTTCAGTAATTAACATTTAGTCCAACTTTTTAACATTCTAGTCACAGGCCAGAAATTAACTTTTTAAGAACCCAAATTATTTTATGTGCAAGTAAGAAAATCTTAACCATAAAAAGAGAATTAAACTCTGCATAAAATTCTAAAATACTATCCCCTATTTTTAAAGGAATTAGGAACAAAAACCCCTTTTCATTTGACTTAGTCAAACAGGGCACATTGTTTATGCTTGTCTCTTTTAATCTTGATCATATCAAGATCATTTTGAAGTAAAACCAATGGTTGTCACTTTAAAATCTCTTTACCACAACACTGAGTATTCTATGGCAGAGGCATACACATATTAAAGGCATCTTAATAAAGATGCAAAGGAAAAAACACACATCTTAGAAGAAGACAAAATGGCAGGCAACTGGTACTTTGACTCTCTGAAGGCAAAAATAAAAAAATATCTTTACATTAAAGAATAAGTCAAGTTAAAGAGAAAGGGAATGAAATGGGGACCATCATATTGAGAGAATAAGCTGACCTGCTCAAATTCAAAGTGCTAGAATTAAAGGTCTAAATTAAAACATAGTCTATGCCTCAGAGTATAACACTGAACACAGTATGTGGTCATATTTCAATCCTCTTTCCGTTCCAGAGTCTGTGTAGTGTGAATGCCATTGCTGTACACAGGAAATGGAAGAGTGGAAAAAAGTCCTTCGGCAGTTGTGAACACATTCCCTGCAGGCATTTGGGTCAGACTGGCCCCGCTCACAGCACTTCCAAACGGTCCCGACATATTGAGTCGGTGAACGTGGTGGTAGAGCATTTCCATCGGTGTTTTAGGATCCAGCCCAAAGCTGGGGCTGTTAACATCAACGAAGTTAACAGCATGGGTGTTGGGGAGGAGGTTGCCCTGCATGGCTAAAGTAACTTCAGCTGGAGCATACCGAATAGTGCCAGTGGTGTAGACCCTCTGAGCAGCAGTGCTGGTCGCAGCAAGGGTTCCCGTTACCCTGTGAACCAAAGGAAGCACCACATTGCCTGCTTGTAACCTCTGAAGGGCTTCCAGATCCCCAGTGTACAACAAAGAGTTGGAAGTTGTGGGACCGCCTGGATGTTTGTCCCGTGGAGATGCTGAAAGTGGGGGTGACAAAGGGTCAGAGGACACAGGAGCCAAGGCCGAGCTGGATGAGGTGCTGAACTGAGTTTTACGGCTGGCAGTATTTTCAGTCCCTGGTGGGGTGAGAACGGAGTCTGGAATGGAGACATGTAAACTACTGCTGGCTTGGGGGGAAGGGAAGTGCTCGGAGCTGGGGGGCTTGGTCATACTGTAGGGTGATTCATTCCTTGAGATTTCCCTGTTGGGTGGGTAATTCCAAATACTGCTATCATTATCAAAATTGATAGGTTCTGAGATTTCTGTTTTAATTTTGAGCACTGAGGCACTGTTTGGTGACGAGAGCAGCTGGGGCTGGTCCACCAAAGCTGAGTCAAGCCCATTTGGACTTGAGGTGCTTGACAGCCTTCTCCGGGTCATGCTGCCTCCCTTTTGCTTTTTTCTCCTCTTCTTCCTCTTTTGATGTTTGCTGGAAGACTGAGCATTTATTTCCCCTGCACTGTCTGAGTCCTTGGCACTGTCCGAGGTCAGTGATTCACAGTTCTGCAACCGCAAGTCTGACTCACTCTCAACATAGCGCTCCACCTTGATCTGCATAGAGCCAAGAGTGCCAAAACTGTCCTCAGGGGCCTTTTGATTCTCGAAATCAGAGTTTTCAAAGCTGTCATCACTGTCCCTGCTGTCCTGGTTGCTGGAGCTGTTCCCATCATCATTACAGTTCATTTCGTTATCCGACTGATTTCCTGACTTTTTCCTGTCAGATTCAGGGTCTTCACTGTTTTCTGACTGGTTTCCTTTCTCATCTGACTTTGAGTTCTCATTGTCCTCTGGAGCAAAAGGAAAGTGAAACAAACCATTAGCAACAGGAACATAGTATTATAGCCCAAGTCCAGATTTCTACCTACCAATGAGATTTGATTGTTGTAAACTTTTTTGCCAAAAGGTGTTCTCTTCTGTAGAGCCACAATTTTTTGCAGCGTTGTGTTAGGAGAGTTTTGATCACCATGAATCTCTCAGACTCAGGACTGTTAACGCACTAAAAGCCTATGATATATGGCCTGCACCTTGATTGAGGGGGGCCTTCTCATCTGCTCACTGGACAAGAATCATTTTGACAACTGTGAGGACAACAGCATTGTAGCTGTGTCATCCGAAGTGGAGTCAGTGAACAATCACATTATGACCGCTATGTTCTGGTGATTGTTCTTTCACATCCGTGTTCTCCTACAGTGGGCACGCATCCAGGTGTAGCTCTATTTACTAATGAAGATTCTAGTCATCTCATTTTCCTCTCATCATTGCCACTTTAAAAGTGGCATAGTGTCCCTGACTTCAGTGGAATTACTGCTGATTTCCTCCCGTGTGAGAGGAGAAGCAGGTCATATGTGTATAAATCTGAATGAATAAACCAGTTAAAACAATTTTGTTATGTTGCTAGACTGTCTTCTCATATTCCCCTGAAGGGCAACAAATAAAAAAAAAAAAAAAGGAAAAAAATTCAGGCAGTGAATTAAATTCTTCATTGATCCAAATCATCCAAGGGCCATTGAAAATAGCCCAGCTAGAGCACTGAGAGGATGTCACTCTTCTTGCCTGAATTTATTTAGTTGTGTTTTAGATTTTTACCTAATTCTAATATGGATGAGATAAACACTCTAGCCCACTGGACTCAGGGAGCCAAAGCAGCTTTGAGACTGAATACGCTCCATTATCATACTATGTTTGAAAGGGTCATGAAAGGCTTCAGGAGACCCCGTCTTTTACAGAACAGCCAGAAACCTTTTGTTGGGAAATAAAAGATGTTTTTTCACTCATCAGAGCCAAGTACTACCCTTTTCAATATACTTATTATAGGGAGAGAGGGGAAGAGCCAGTTTTCCTCTAAAGATTGGTTACTCCTGGAGCCATGTCAATACCAAAGAGTTTCCCAGAAGTGCTGGAGAAGGTGGGCTTGACAGGGAAGTTGTCCAAGGATTCAGGGCAGTGCGCTCCACAAGTCACTTAGTGGGACTTCACTTGAGTCACCAGCAGCAGAGAGACCTTCCCTTTTGAAAAATAAAACCCACAGAAGCAAAGTAACAGCCACAAACCCCTAAATCTCAACCAGTTTTTCGTTCCACCTAGGGTTGCATTTCTCCTACTACATTTTTGGTTTTTTGATGATGCTTTCTTTTAAGGTCATGGTTTATAACTGGTCAAGAGTGGGCTTAGGGTGAGGTAGTCTAAAGCTGCACAAAATTTGCCTGGGATTTTATCAGAGCTTGAACTGAACTTGTTGGTTTCATCCAAGATGCTGTTCCGATTTCAGGTCCTTTGGCATTTCTATTTCATTCTTTTGTAAGAAACAACCCCCTGCCTCTGCTGTCTTCCAAGACTCTCAGACATCTGCTTCTGAGATGTACACATCTGTGCACCTTTGAAGAATGCTCACTTGCTCTGCATCAGCCTTAGGAGTCAAGAATGCACATGCACTTCTCACCTGGAAAAACTTACAGTGCACATGGGAAATGCAAACTGTTCTCCACATGTGTGTTATTTGGCTATTTAGGAACAAGATAGCATAAAGGGAGCACTGGGAATGGGTGAAGAGATTCCCAATGATGGTGGGCAACAAGCCTGTATGTGTGCCTAATGTTGACTTAAACCATCAAACCAAGCTGTCAAAAGAGAACAAATAAAGGCAAAAGACGAAAGAGAACAGCCATATCATACAATATAACATCAAGGCCTGATCGTCTTCTTGCTTTTGTTTGATTTATGTCACTGTGATCCATTTTCTCCAGATTTTTTTTGGTTGTTATCATAGACATGAGAGAAAAATTATATATATGTATTGCATACTACAGCAGAGTAACATCCTTAGTTCTTGGGCCACAGGAAACCATGCTCCTTTCAAAGACAGATGATCTGTACCTGTGCCTAGGTAACCACTTTTAAAACGGGGAATGTGTGAACCATCTGTGCACTGGATCATCTGTAGGACTACTTTACACATTAAGTTTGACAAGTACATTTAGCTTTTAAAAAACAACTGATGTCTCAGACTGAAAGGGCTTAGAAACAAGTGCTTGAACCCATATCTTCTAATAAAATGTAATTATTTTAACCCAAGAAACCCCTCAAATTTTGCAATCTTCACTGCCCCCTAGTGAGATTCTTCAAAAATGTATTTATACAGGAAAAAGGGTCATAAAGACTGACAGTAAAGACTTATCTTCAGAATATGTGCCTACTCTGGAAAGATAAGAACTAGAATTATATTCAACAGTTACAATCCCAGGTCCTTTGCACAAGGAACAATACCTGTTCATGAAGTTTAGCTGGGAAATGAAATATTTAGTTCAGTGCAATGCAGGCAAGGATGCATGCACAGAGTGAAGAGAAATACTGAGGAAATGGAGATACTGTGGAAATGCTGAAGTCATTAAAAGGTTTTGCTAGTGTTTTTCAATAAAATTGTACAGGAATTTTGTTGTTGTTATAACGGAACAATCCTTGAGAATGAAAAGCAACTGGAAAGCCAACCACGTGGCTCTCATCATATGAACCTTTTGTGGGCGTAAAAGCACACCCTGTGCATTACCTGAGTTGTCCTTTGAGTCCGATTCAGAGTCAGAAGTCTCTGAGGATTCTGAGGTTTTCTCTGGCAGATGAGGAAGTTGTGCAATATCCATTGGAGTGTCCTTGTACTCTGGGTTGCTGAAAAGGAGGCAGCAAATATGAACACAATTTGATGATTTGCAGTTTCATGTTTTTTGCCTCTTTTCATATCAAAGTTCAGGAACAAAGAACATAAATAGGAAGAATAGCAGAGCAAACACAGAAACATACATTTTCGGCTCCTCAGAGCTTCACAGTAGGGATTTTATGAAGGTTTATTTTAATACTGCTGTCAAATACTTATATTGACCAGGTACTAAAACTTGTTTGATTCTAGTGAAGTTTTAGAGCTATGAAAGCATTCTTACTGAAGTGGGACACCATGGCTTGCGTGATATCTAACAGTAAAGCCACACTGTGTAATCATCCAACAACAAAATATCTCGATTTCGATCCCATTACTGTGCCTGGAAGGACAGAGAAGGTGTTTTTAACTTTTCCAATCTGTTTCTCTCCCACTGGCAATGTCTATTAGACTTATCTCTGTAGCAATGCTCTCTATCAACCTTGCCAGAGCCCTTTCAATACCTGTTTTTCTCAATGTTCCTGTTTTCTACACTTCAATCAAGCAGACCATACATAAATTAGTAAGAACGTGCTCAGTTAGGGCTAGAGAAAATGACCACTGTACAAAAGAATTTGGCCAAAAAATAGATTAAAAAGGTCTTGCTTTTTTTAAACACTGCACACATGCATCCACATCACCAAGAAACCAAAAGCAACCACTCTAAATATATGACAGATGCACATGTGCATGTTAAGATGCATATGTTAGGGATAAAGAACTGTCAACACACCCATTATAATCATATCTTCATCTGCTCATGTGGTGCTCACCTGTGACTTGTTAGCAATGAACATGACTGAAATGTAAAAAAGCTACACTACCAGAGAAATTGAAAAAACACCCAAACCCCCAACCCTATGCTTTTTATTGGTTTGTACCTTTTAAAATGTGTTCCTTTCCCAAGTCCTTGCAAAGGCAGGGGAAGAGACACAGCTAGACATAAGTGGCATAGGAATGTTGAAAATAAACAAAGTCTTCAATCATTTTTGAATAGGTGAGCGTTTCTATGCAGTTCAAATTCCAGCCCGGTGATAGAGCAGAAAATCTGCAGTCCTGTGTAGAACAATACGAGGCAGCACTGGGGGTGACTGACACACTATCAGAATGACAGTGTGCCCATATTCAGCCTATTACAGTGTACTGTGAAAATTCAGAGTACACGCAGTTCACATTGAAATGCCATTCTTACGATTATCATCTTTATGGTTTTGTCCGGACAAAGTGACTTTATTCTGTTGCATCCCAGGGCAGTTCCCAAATTTGCCCCCTCCAAGCAAAAGATGTCTGAGGGCTTTCACACTGTGAATAACAAGTTGCTAGAACAAGAACAGCATTAATCCTCCCTGTCACTATAATTAGTCTATCCTTTTACAGACAGCTGAATCGTACTTTCTAATGCATGGAAACGTATACAGACCAGTACTCCTGCTAAGAGTAGACCTAATTATGCCTTGGTCTACTATCTGGACACTTAGATCTTTCGTGGATTCTAGTACTAGGAGAAATCTAAATTAAAAATACAAATTCAGTGGAGAAGTTAATCTTTTTCTAACAGACCAGTGAAGGGAATGCAACAGAAAAATCAAGTTTAGGGAGGAGACTTGGAGAAGACCACACTGCTTTTCTTTTTTTTGTTAGATATATTCTGTTGGTAGAGAAAATAATTTTGTGGGATGTTTGTGGAGGAGGTTCACCGATTGTCTGGAAAGCAGCAAGGGGACAGAGGAAACTGTTCATAATTCTTACGGACCGCTTTCCCAGCTAGAATATGAGCATATTTCTGGGCATTTTGAAGCCCTGTTAGGACTGGAGCAGTGAAGCTGTACTTCCAGTTCACAATTGGCAGGCTTAAGCTGACCTCTTGAAATGCTGCATTCTGCCTTGCTCTTGCAAAAAGAGACAAAAAAGTAGCAGGGTGAGGATAGATTCAGAAATGGCCATGCTCAACCATAGCAGGACAGAAACATGCAAGCCCAATAAACACTCCACTGCTGTGGAAGGTTTCCCACAGTATCCCCCAATGCTATCCTCCCAGGGGTTGCTTCCTTCTTTTCCCCAAAAGGGGAATCAAAAGTATTTCAATGTGCAAGTTTAGGCAGACACAGTCTCTTCAGGGCTTGCTAGACTTGGCACAGTAAGTCACAGTCTAACCCCTAGACATCACTTTGAACTCTCATGGCATCAAAGGGAATGTAACAAACCATGACAAGCAACTTAAAAAGAGAACAGGCCAGAAAATGACAATTGCATTTCATGACAATCTCAAGGTTTCAAATTTTATTTGTTTGTTTGTTCTGCTCTGGAATGAAACAGGAAATCCCCCAATCTTATTGAACATATTCACAAAACAGAATGTGTTGAAAGGTATTTTCAGATGAGAAAGGTCAGGTTTATAATTCACTGTCTTTCAGTGACTGTTGGTCTTCCCTTGAGCTCAGAAACTAGTCCTTTAAAAATACTTGGGCTTTGGTAAAACAGAATTTCTCAGGGAAGAGCTTTTCATTCAAGATATTACTGTTATAATACTGTTCTAATAGCTTAAAATAGTTTTAATTGCTACTTTTTTTTTTTTAAATCCTATTTTGCATTTTTCATTTGAATACCGTCTGATGGTTACAGGAACAACATATTAGTTCAAGGCTTTTCTCCTAAGAAAATTCCTTTCTCTGGAGTGAACTGACAAACACCTTTTGGAGAGAGCTTTTTGTAGCATTCCAGAAATTTGCTTCCATGCATTTTCAATAACCGAATGAACCAGTGCCCAACACGTCACACCAGATTTTATAACAGAAATACTGAAAGTTGATGTGGATCATTTTTACCTCTGAACTCAGGTTGAGTAGATTTCAGGGGAGTGGACGCATGCAATAAAATGGTGGTGGGTTTGTAAGGCAGCATAATAACTCAAGAATATTCCAGTGTACCGAGATATGAAAGATGACTCAATAAATATAACCAAATGGCACTGTTTCTGAGGTAAACTATATGAAAAGTTCTCCTTAACTTTCTCCAGCAATTGTTTTTTTCCCTAAAACTCTCATCAACACAGACAAGCAACAGAGACAGCAGTTGAGAGAAGTGACTGGAAGACCTACCTAAGCAGGTAATTGACCCAGATGATATTCTTCTCACTTGCGTTCTTGGCATTGACAGCTATGGTTGCACTAGACTGTATCCAGATATAACCTCCATTCTTCTGCATCCAGCGGTAATACTTTGTTACACATTGACCCTTATTCAGCACTGGCAAAAAAACAGAAACAAAACAGAAGCAAGATATAATGCATGTTAGAGCTGTGGTAAAATGATCTTCATTGTACAACATGCCACAAGTATAAGCAGAAGATACTTGGCTTCCTTTAGGTTTAATGCAACATGCCAGTGAGATGACAAACAGGATCCAAAGTTCAGTCTAACTAGCTGCACGTTTTACAAGTTTTTAAAGTACAACTTTAATCTGTTTTTTGGGGGGAACTCTAGTGGAAGAAGAAAAGTAAAAAGAAGTACAAATCTCTCTGGTTCACAGAATACTTATTGCTGTGTGGACATATTCAATGCACTCAATGTCAAACTGTAAAAAAAGAAAAGGAAAAAAAAGAAGCAAATTTATATGTGATTTATTCATAGCTCCTAGGTAGACCTCTTTGAGATTCTGGATATTTGAAAGGTTTGGGAAGATACTCTACCCCTGCTGCTTTGATCATTTCTCCTTATTGCAGGCGATATCAACCACTGAACTTATACATCTGTTTCTTTGATCTTGTCAAACAGAATTTACAGTTCTCAGACGAACCAAATCTCCACCGGTCAGTGGGGGGAAAGTCCTGGGAGAATTTACTTTCTACCAGAGCAAAGTAAATCCACCAACAGACTGAGGAAGAGGCCTAAGGGAGGCACAGAATGGCTTGGTTAGAGTCAAGAGTGACAGCTCTCTCCGATGTTTGAAATATGCTAGGAAACAGAGAAACAAGTAAAAGCAATCAGTAATGTGAAACGGTGTTACTGAATGCTCGAAGCGAGAAGGCTTAAAAATCCAGATGTTTAAAGTAATACTTCAGCCAAAATATGGCCAAGTTGAAAGGGATTTGGTTCGTATCTGATGCTTCAGTGTCAGGAGAAGGGGACGAAATGCAAACCTTTCAGTGGAAGGGAGCAGCATGGCTTTAAAGAAACCTAAACTATAGAAAACCTGGGTGCCGTTGCTGCTGGAGCCCTTCCTCCCCGCATTGCTCACGAATCCCACACCGCTTTGTCCACTAGAGGGCACTGTGCCTTCACGCACACCGCCTGCTTTTGTCATGTCCTTGTCTCCGTCTGCTGAAATGAAAAACCTCTAACTGCTGTAATAAATTTGGCTAAATTAGCTGCTAAATGGTTATCTCAAGTAATATGTATTTGCATTAATCATCTTGCTCTAAACCAGAACAAGCCAGAGTCCTAAAGACGTAGTAAATTCATATTGTCCATTTAATTACGGCTAATAAGTGCTTCATATACAATAGTTTCATGAAGTACATTTTCATTTTTTTTTTGTAGAGGGAAAAGAAAAAAGTCACTTTGGAAAAGAATAAGTATTTAAGGCAGTTAAAGTTCCTACCATAAATGTGACAAATGACACTTTGGAGCTTTCAAGTTAACCAAATGTCTATACCCCTAATTATACATATGAATGTATCTATATCTCAATCCGTGTACAATAGATACCTACAGGAAAAGATATTTACAAAGGTAGCCACACAAACACAGATGCTTTCTTACCTTAGAGGGCTCCCCCAATCCCTACTCCAATTTTTCAACTACTGAATAAAAAAATGAATGTAGAAAAGTGCAATGTAAAGTGAATGTAAAGTGCAAGCCAAGTTCAGCTGTAATGTGAACAAATATTTGCGATCTGGGTCCTGCTGTTTTTCAGCAACTTCTAGTTAACTAGGTTTGTTTCTAGCAGAGATCCATAGTTTCCCTAAATTCTTAATTTTGTATTCCAATCTCTAAATATTCTGCTATGACAACTCATTGGCTTCAAAACCTCATTATACAGCAGAATAAAGATAAAATATGAACAACTGACTACCCAGCATTTCTGTCAAACAAATGTTGTATGCCACTTTAGAAAACAATCTCACATAAATTAGCCCAACTTTATCAGTTATGAAGAATAAGGGAAGAAAAGTACTGCTGTAATTTTTGATTACGGTAGACATTTCTATTTCAGTAAAATAGGACATTCAAAATACCCTGCTTACAGCTGACAGTAAAACTGATATGGCTGGAAGTCTGGAGTGATATTGTTTCCTTTCCAGAAACCTGAACACCCACAGGTGTGTGCAGAAACTAGCAAAATCTATCTGCGCTTGTATCCCCTAATTATACTGTTGTCTTCTTTATAATAGTTTTTATCTGAGGAGTTTACCATGCTATACAAATACCAAAGGATGAATCCTCACAACTGCCCACATGCACATTTAAAAGTCAAGGTACCAGGTGAGTCACCAGCCAGTGACTGAAGAGCATACTGCAATTTTGCATAGTAACAGCTACGAGGACCCAGATTCTCCAGCTCTTTCAGTCCGTTTCATCCTAGACAAGTCCTTCCTCCTTCAGTACTTTTTATATTGGTTGTTGCACCACTGGAAAAGTCTATGTCATGAGCTGAACAGAGCATTCATTTCAGAACTATGGAAAAAAGGGGGAAATGAAAACTTTGTAAGTCACCTCTGAGGGAAAAGGTGCTTGCTTTTTCAAGAAAGATAATTCAGTGCATCAGAGTTGCATACAAACCATCTACAGTGAGAGTTCAGGCTCCCAACTCACCATACATCCAAAGAATATCTGAAATAGTGTCTTGAAAATGAGGTTTCCATGAAGCTCACCTAACTGTAAATTCCCACTCTCTATTTGGCCAGCTCAGATATATTACCACATACAGAGGATTTTCCTTCCTGCATCTGTCTAAAGCATGTTTCATATGAGAGATTTGTGGACCACGCTCTGAAGGAAGTCCCACAATTCAATATAAATATTCTTTCTGTAAAGAGATACTCTGGCAGGCCAGCTGTGCCGTGCTGCTAAATCTGGTTCTTACATCCTTTGAGAGTGCACTAGGCATCTCGAAGCCAGTTCTGAAAGCTCATACTGTATCTTGGGAAGAGGTTGGTTGTTTTTTTTTTTTAATGGTTGGAAGAGACCTCAAAGATGAAAGAGAAAGAAAGAAAAAAAATTGAAATGTTTTCTAATTTATGGTATTTTTTAACTGTTGGCATTGCCAAGCTGAAACTTAGATGAGAATTTTGAGAAAACAAGCAACTAGAAGGACACATCAGGAAGGGAAATCTATCTGGTTTATTGATAAAGTAACGTTAGTGAGTAAAGTCTAGTTTCATTTGGAGGATCTTCAGTTTGCAGGTACAGGGAGTCCATTAAGAAAGTTAATAATTTTGAGAAGAAATGAAAGTAAAGAATTAGTTCACCCTAAGCTCTGCTTGTGAAGTTACGTTTTGTTACTAGCAACAAACCACTCATTTCAGATTAGCATAAACTTCTGAAAAAGTAATGCCATGTGGACCACATCCTGAACTTATTCAGACTGAGAATCAGGGCTCAGCTTTGTATTTTTGTACACTGAGAAATGCAAAGAGTAAAATTTCTATTTGTATTATACATGGAGTACCCAGTCTGGCAGACAATGCAGTATGGGGGAAGGTGAGACTTGTGACCACATCAGTGGGATAGCTCGTGTGACTGAAGTTACACGGGATTATGCAGGATTGAGTTATATAATTACATATATACACATATATATAAAATCCCGTTAATCAAAGGGAATAACTGAGGTTAATGTTTCAAAACTGATGACCTTTACATTAGCTGCACAGATATATTCCCTAAAATGGTGGATGTTAAACTTGACTAAAATTTGCTGAAAGGTTACCTAGTTACTCAATTTGAATTTGGGGGTTAGCACGCCACAAATGCACAGTATGTCATGCTAAAAAGTAAAAAAAAAAAAAAATCTCACTTATTTCTCAAAGTATGAATATACTGCTATGTACACAGTTCCCAACAGAGGGATTTCAGTTTTCCTTAGTAGCTTTGCGCACAGCAATATTCTTGTAGCAGCGGAGTGAAGGAGGGGGGAGAAGAAGAAACAGTCAGTGTTCTTTGCAGGAACCTATTTCTGTTAGAAAATCAAAATAAATGAGTACAAGTTTGTCTTCAGAAATACGGTTACAAAAAGAAAAAGAACATAGTTTCTTCCTGTAAGGCTGTTCTGAGAAATCAAAGCCAAAGCTTCTAAATAGTGAGTTGTGTTTTAAAAGAAGGAAGTAGCTTAATTCAGTTTGAAGAGGAGATGAAGAAATTGTGTATCAAAAGCAGTCTTTTAGCAAAGTCTCTTACAAAAGGACATTTTACTCATGTGCATATGCATTTAAAAGCTACACTATATTGCGTATTCAGGTAAGTATTGAGTAAATAGGAAATGATGAGATCATCTTACATATTCACACAGCTTCACAAAGAGGCTCTTTATAATTGCTGAAAATATTGAGGTTACATCTGCTGTGCTATTCACCCTTCTCCTTGAAATACCTTTATCAATGACTGGGTAGTATTGACACTGAATTCCCCTTCTGATAAACTTATAAGAATATTTTTAATTTACTGCATGAGGATGAAAATGCCATACTTAATACCATAGTCGGATACTTAGCTGCAGCCACAAGTACTCTCTACATTCACAAAACTGGCAGATGAAACATGAAAAGGAATACTGACTCTTTAATCTCCACTTCTCCACCTCAGGCCCAAGGCAAGCTGACAGGGTAACTTCGTTCTGGAAACAGAGGGTTTTTTATTTTTTTAATTCTGGATTACTTTTTCTTCTGCTTTTGAAAACTGTGGGCTATAGGGGAATGAACCTGGCATAGACTTAAAACAAGAACAAGTTTCTTTATCTGAAAAGTTACAGTCCTTGATGCTTACAGGAAGGTCATTTTCAAAACCCACAGGAAAAATAGCATCACAGCCAGAAAGAGTGCATTAAGTGCCTTATTTGCTTGTAACAGAAACAGTTTTTCATTTATAACAGCTCTGAGGATCAAGTGAGCCTTTGATGTTGTAAGGGCTTTTCTATAGATTTTGCAATTAGCGAGTTAGATGTTTTAAATAGTAGGTATCCACAAATTGGATTTTAGCAATGAAAAAAAGTACTGAGCAATATTTAGCTATGTTAAATTCTGTTTGTT